TGGGGGTGAAAGCATTTAAGAACTAGAAGACATTTGTATGTTTCATTGTTGCTGCACAGCACCCTGACTGGCTCGTCTCCTCCCCGGGACCCTTCTGTACGGGGGTGTCCAGTTGCCTACAGAAGGGTCTTGGGTCCCCAATCTGCACATTAGGTTTTAAGGAGCCCAGGTGAGGTAGTGGTTTGCGTTGGGGTACCTTCTCAGAAACTCACAGGGGCAGTTCTACCCTACTCTATAGGGTCGCTAAGTCTGAATTGACCCGACGGCAGCGAGTTTGTTTTGCTTTATTAGGTTTTACATTAGTGGAGTCAGAGAATGACGGATCTGGAATCACTCAAGGCTCCGCGATCCAGAGATCTCCTGCATGCAGGACTCACGAAGGCCAGCCCTTCAGAAAGGCCCCACTGTCTGCGCTGGCGAGGAGGCCTTGCAGGAATCCACTTCCTAAAGCACTCCGAGCGAGGCCAAGACAACTCCCTTAGTTATGGCCGGAAGGGATTCAAGGGAAGTTTAATCCTTGTGGGGATGATGCAAATCGATTTTGAGTTTTCACTGCCATCCATAGCCTTGGACAAACGGTGTGCTTAGAATTTAAGCTCAAATACACCTCTTGTTTTAGGTGATAATTGATGTTGATAATGACGATTTTCATTTTAAGCAAATTTTGGCCTTAGGACAGCCTAAAAGTTCTAAAGCACTAAGTGTCTGAAGACCTAGAAAAAGAATTGCCTTTAACACCTCAGGCCTCCGTGCAGTTCCACGGACTGTCCACCAGGTGACAGCATAGGGAGCGGCCCCAGGCGGCCTGCCCACGGCCGCTCTTGACGGAGACGGAAGAGGAAGAGGAAGAGGAAGCCGACGCCGGGAGGCATCACGGTGCCGGGAAGGTGGTGCCATGTCTCAGCCGAGAGCGGGTCTCCGAGCGCTTGGGAGCTGCTAGGAGCATAGTTTCTTTAATCGGGCTCCCTGGTCCCAAGCAGGGGACCCTCAACTTTCACCATGGTGAAGGAGCAGTTCCGGGAGACGGACGTGGCAAAGAAAATGTAAGTCGGAGCA